TAACGGAAGATGACGGTCAATCATAAAGAAGGAACAAGATTTCCAGGAGCAACTTTGCACAGCCTTGGATGTTTATTTAGTTGATAGTCGCCCATAAAATCTAAATACCAGCGCGATTGTACCAAGTAAACCCCTTATCGGGTGTATCAAAGAATTGTATTTATAATGAATCAACCAATTCCGGTGAACATGTCAACAGGTTATTTGACATCTTCAACATGCCAGCCAACTAAAGCATTGGCTGAGAAGTAGCAGAAAACCAACACCTCCATAAGGTACTGGCACGTTAGCACCTGAGCCGCATACTTTTGTAGCGACCCAAGGCATCAAGTTGCGTAGACCAGTTTAGAATATTCGTAGAACGAGGCCGACTGCATAAATAACAATCACTTTTTCACTTCGTAACGGACCCGAAGTCACTTGGCGGATTTTTTTCTCATTTTCTCCCTTTAGAAGCCAGTTCCTAAACTCGCGCACAAACATCTCATAAAACCCAGAGTTCTGACTCCGGAAATGACTTCCGGCCAATTAGATTATCTCCAGCTATACCTGAGCCATTGAACTTGTGCCAAGAGCGGTGAGCCATTGGACCTACAAACTGCGCTCGGCCCCAAAGATGAATCAACCGGCCCACACCAATCGGAAGCCGAAATTCATATCCCGCAAAGGAATACGCAGGAAGAGGTCATAGCTACTGCTTCTGTAGATCCATTCATCACGCTCTATCTCGGCTCCACAACTGCAATCTGCCACGGCAGCGTCTGGCCTCAACAGATTGTCCCTGGAAGGTCCGGACGCTCAGTTATCTGATAAAGAAGCTCTCCGTTAGATTGTATCGAGCCAGATCGCCAGAGCAGCATACGTCGCGTCTTCTAAACTAGAACGTGCATTATAGCAAAATCTATTTTACGCCCTAGCAGTAAAAAAACTTTGCTCATACCGAATTTAATTAGATGCCGCATCTCCGCGTCGAGCCTCTAAAACAGCATCTGATTGTGGATCTTCTTTTCCGCATGGCAACAGTACGTAAAATAACGTCTCGGTGGCCCAGTTTCTAGATCATATGGTTCTGCTCGCCCCAACCGCGTATGTCTTGCCTCAACTTAGATCTGTATGCCTTCTGAATATATACAACCTCTCCTATCCTCTTTTTCGTCATCCGGTCTCAGCTTATGTGAGACAAATCACTGAGTAATAAAGCCAACTAAGGAGAAATAGATAAAATATAGAGGGAAAGTAACAGACATGTTCTAATGAACATACACCCTCGAGTACAGATCGAGCGCTCAAGGGTACTACCATACGACAAGAATTTGGTTGGGAAAGTTGAAATCTACCAGCTCACCCGAGGCGAGGATGTCCTCTTTTCCTCTGTCGTCTCGGAATTCACGACCTCCGACCCAACGCAGTCATCTTCCCGGTGCACGGGAAACAAGGTCGCCCTGGGGACCGGATTGATGACCTGCTCGAGGATGCCAATCTCTAGTATCTGACTCGAATCACTTGTAGTGGGAAGCGGCGCAGGATCAACCTGATGAGCAGAGAGGAAAGGTGAAATTGCTCAATTGATGTAGGGTATGGGCATGCTTTCAGCGCAAGCAACAAGCCAATATATTGAGTGCCAGACTAAATGTTGATCTGTGCGTGAATGCATCATCCAGGTCGAGGAACCGAAACAAAGAGAATTCCCGGTCGTTTAGCAATGAAAAGACCGTTTAACTTGTTGGCAATATGCATTGTGACTACATGCCTAAAATATATTTTTCACCTTTAGGATGGGATGTAAGCTTGACCTCAATAATTA